TTTTTCCAGGAATAAAGACCGTGATCTGACCTTGGCAGGGACGGAGAGCACGAGGCAGAGGAAGACGGCGATAGCGGATGCTTGCATGTCTGGAACACCTGCGATGTCAGCAGCCTCCAAAGCAACTGTGATCCGGATGTTCCTCGGGACAGCACCTTTTATATCCTTGATTCGGTCGGTAGCTAACCAAATCCGCATGCGATGACGCGTGAGCACGTGATCCAAGAGCTTGTTTGCCGAACGGTTCCGTCGTATGGCTCTGATCCGGAACCATTCCGAATGCTCTGAACCATTTTTCGATGCTCACAACCTGTTGAGCGAAATTGATGAGAATTATTCGATAGAGAAATGATAACATTTCGATGCTTTATGCTTCAAATCGGATATGTGCTTTTGGTTTACGTTAACAAATTTCAATTAAGGCTTGGATTTTTAAAATTAGACATATTCCCACGTTGAAGCTCATTTTGGACCTCATATTGCATATTTACGTGTCTTACGGCATACATTTTCTAGGTTTGCTCAAAGCACAAGGGGAGTTCACGTAAATTCCTGAAGCTCTCCTCCTGCACGATGAAAATACATCCGACCTCGTCTATTTCCTTCCTCGACCTCGTCAGGCATGCCAACAATAGTATGTATTTGTCCGGTCTGGCTTGTCTTGAGGGAACTCGATAACGCGATGCCACGTGCCCTGCGCTTTCGTGCCGTCTGCCTATGCAAACCCTTTCATATCTTTTTATTGTGGGTTGTTTCCCAAGAACTGACTTTAAGTCTTTATTGGCCATCATGGAGAAAAAAGCAAATATGTTCGTGCAGAATTAGGCAAAGGGAGGTCTTTCCTCCAAGACCATTTCAACGCCGACACTTTGAGCTTGTCTAAAGCGAGATTGATTGCCTTAAATTCCACTTGGTTTTCATGTGGGTCCATCAATTGAAAATCCCGAGGTCTGAAGGAGAAATACTTCATGCGTTAGATCGGGTAAACATCCCGGTTTCTGGCAGGTCTCTAGTTGTCGGCCAGTGAGGTTAATCTGGCATAATTGGTTAATCTGGCAGTTTTCAAGCATTCTATCAACATCTTCCCGTGGGAGGACCTATTACTAGAGTTTTTCGGTGTGCACACAGGGTGTCCACAAATTATGGGAGTCGTATCGGCGTTTCTTTCGGAAGGCGTGCGGAAACGGCATGTTTCCCTGACAGCTTGCGCTGTGCGATCGCGCCGCTTCATCGAGTTCATTTATTGGCAATCGCTTTTGCTGCAAATGAGGTCTCCTGTTTTCTCGTTTCCATATCGAGTAACAGACTAGATCTGACACCTCATTATTCATTAATTATGATGAAACTCTAGTTATTGGGTGCCAATATCTGAGAATGTGAAATGCTGCTTTACCCAGTTACTGGCCACCTGGCCAAAAAACTGGCCACAAAGGAGATTTTTTTTCGTCCCAGATGCAAACTCAAATACAGATGATTCTGACCTCAGAACTAGTCGAGATGGTTTGAGGAACTCTAGATACGCCCTCACCGAAATGGCTCATGACCTCGTCCGCACCAAAATGGCTCATGACCTCGTCCGCACCGAAATGGCTCATAAATATCGAAACAGACGAAATCGGTGAAACGTTACGCGTCCTCTCTTGAAAGGGGGTGAGAGACTGGATGTGCCTTCGATTGGTGTAACAATACACGCCTTGATGGCCTTGATGGACCAGGGGTTAGTTCTTAAACTGCGCTAATTCCTAATTGGTCCCGTAAGTCCAGGATCGAGTTTCATTTGAACGAGAAAAGGTAGGCTTTGCTTGGCCTGACCCGAAGACAAGCCCGTCTGTTAGGCCTGGGCCTAACGTTAGTGAGATCCGTAGAGAAGGGGGAGGGGGGGGGAGGAGGTGAAGTTGAAGCTGAGGTTGGTGCTGGGGTTGAAGAAAGGGAAAGCCTTTGAAAAGTGGTTTATCACCATACTTCGTTTAATATTGAACAGGAGCGCAATTGAACTCAGGGCGTTCGTAAGGAGGAAAATAAACCCTCGGCATGGCACCCCTGCCTCCATACGGTTCACCTTCGGCAGGTGGATGCGTAATCGGAGGTGCTGCACTCGACAGGTGACGATGTCACGATGTCGCGTGCGTCACTCCATTGGGATAATCGTGGCAATTGCGGCCAACACATTCAACGGAGCCAACTCGGATCCCAGATGCGACTGCGAGTTTCCTAACCGATTCTTGCACCTCTAATGACGCAATCGCTCGTCGAAGGACGATAAAAATCCTCACCGTTTTCCCCCAAAGGTCAATTTGACCGGCAAAAATTCCTCCAAAGTCGCGAATTTTTTTTCATCGATTCATGGAAACGGATTTCAAATTTTCCCATTCTATTGGCGCATCTGCTTTGTAACAAATATTTTGCTCGAAGACCTGTATCCTCCTTTGTAAACGATCCATCTCCAATTCAATATTTAAAATAAATACATTTTGCGCGATGATACCAGGCCATTTAATAAAATTTGACATAATAATGCGTCCAATATTGAATTCTCATGATTGAAACAGGGAATTGTCAACAAGCGACCTTCCAGCATTCATGAATAAATTTCCACTAAATTCAGTTGCCAAGGCGACCAACGTTTCCGGTTCTGGATTTTCCTCAATGAAGATTTCAATGCAAGGGTTCGTGTTTGCGATTTTTCTAAAATCATCATTCCTCGTGTTCAATTCATCAGTACCTCACTGGTCCCTCGGGTTGCAATATTCGATCGTAATTTCCATCCGTATCCGTCGACCTTTCATTCGCTTCGCCCAGGGCCCATGAGATTTTGCGAGCATGTCTCTTTGCTAAAACTCCATTTGGAGAAAATCGACAGATTCTCGTACGTGGCTTTCACAGGGAATATGGGCATTTCTTGGAATTTCTGGCCTGGACTCCGTGATTGGGAAGATGGGGAGGACAAATAAGGAAGTGTCCAAGTACATTGATTGCTACTATGAGGCAAGGCGAGACAAATGGGGATGCGCAAAACTATCTTGTGAGAGATGATTCCATGGGTAAGGGGAGGGAACTTTGGTGTCCTTTGAGACATGCGAGAACCCCATACCCCCACCTAGTGGCCTAGAGGAGAACTTCAAACGGAACCGTATTGGCCTATAGGGATCCGCGTAGGTCCTACAGGGAACTCTATAGGCCCTATAGAGAACCTTATAGGTCCTATAACGAACCCTATAGGTTCTATAGGGAACCCTATTAGTTCTATTTGGAACCAAATAGGTCCGAAACTGAACCCTATGGGGCCTATTGGAACGTATAGGAAACCTATAGGTTCCAATAGGCCCCATAGGGTTCAGTTTCGCACCTATATGGTTCCCTATAGAACATATAGAGTTCCCTATAGAACCAATAGGGTTTCCCTATATGACCTATAGGTCTCCTTTTTGAACCTATAGGCCAATAGGGTTCCATATTGGGCCTATGCTGAACCCGATAGACCTATAAGGTTTCATACAGGGCCTATGCGGAACCCTATAGGCCTATAAGGTTCCATTTGAAGTTCTCCTCTAAGCCACTAGATGGGGGTATGGGGTTCTCGCACGTCTCAAAGGACACCGAAGTGCCCTCCCCTTACTCATGGAATCATCTCTCACAAGAGAGTTTTAGAGTTTTAGAGAGAATACTTCGACACTTCCTTTTTAGTCTTCCCCATCTTCCCAATCATGGAGTCCAGGCCAGAAATATGCTCATATTCCCTTTGAAAGCCACGCACGAGAATCTGTCGATTTTCTCCAAAAGGAGTTTCAGTAAAGAGACGTGCTCGCAAGTTCTGAGTTCTATTTCCTTAGGTCGAGAGAAGAATGATACTTTTCTTTGCCGAAGGAAGTGGACGCGCAATCCCGCGGCTTATCTGGGCCTGGGCGATAAACTATGCCGACCTGGGCAGAACCAGTATCAATTAGGCAAAAGAGCCCCTACTATGGGAAAACCCCCTTATCGGTAATTGATTTACACCAAATGCTGCGCCGATACTGACCCCGGTTTGCCTTTTCCGTCGTAATGCCTGGCTTTCGAAACCCAAAAAATCCTCCCGAATCCTGTAGGTCAGGAGCCCTGTATGACCCTATAGGGGTCCTATAGGATCCTATAGGCTATTCGTGTTTAAAAAACCTATATAGGTTGGTCTATAGGTTTCCTATAGGACATTTCCGTAAGGGAACTTCCCTGGAAATCCGGTAACTTCAGATTTGGCTGGATCAGAGTCGGAACGGAAGCGAAAAAACCAAAACTTGGGGTTCAAAATGCGTTACGGCCGTAACGCGACACTAACGACCTTGCTTTTCATCATTTCGGGGAGAAATGAATCATTTTTGTCATGGATGGGTGCAGATATCTCTGTCTATAAGGCACTGTCGAATTAGAATTTCAGGTTCAAACCTTGAAGTTAGCGTGGTGGTTTTGATCGCTGGCTACAACAGGTTAGACCCGGAGGGTCTTCGAGAAGTCTTCGATAATTCGGACTCGGGGAACGGAGAGATCAAAGTTCCCAAGATTATCTGACTCCATGAGACCAGTGCAAGGAAAAACGAAAAAAATTTTAATCTGCATCTTTCGTACTTGCGAAATGAATCACTGACAAAGTTAAATTTTTTTTTTTTTTTAGCTCAGCATCAACACACTTCCTCAAGACCAGGGCGTCCTTGTCTAATCTCGGGGTAGCACCGATGTCGAGGTTGAGAAATGGGTTTTGGGATCTCGCTGGTGTTTTACGGGCCATTTCAATAATCAAGCATTTAAATGTAATCATCCACATTTGCCGTTTATTGGTGCATGTTGAGAAATTGTTGAGACTTGTCTCATCTCCATGTTGATTCAATGTTGCTATCAACATTCTTTAGCATCGAAACAGAAAATTTGTGGACTTTGAGCCTTCAATGCTGTTACAACGTTGTTTCAACATTGATGTGCAGACTGTGTTAGTATGAATGCATCTGCTAAAATGACAAATTAAATAATAACTTCCTTTCTTTCTTGGCTCTTTTTCTTAGAGCATTAGGCAAAAACAACGCATTTAAAGAGCTGAAACTATTTTCTTTCTTCATTAATGTTCCTTTCTTTATTTCCTTTCTGGAATTAAAGTTCCTTGCTCCTTTCTTTCAACAACAAAAGAATGAATGAAGGTACACGAAGGCCGGAATCAAGGTGGTGAGCACCATTGGGCATCCTGGGCGTTTTGGCTGATGAAATTGTCAACGTAATCTGCAAGGAAGGTCAATTTTGAAGGTGAGCATGAGCATAATTGTGCTTTAAGGAGTTTTCCAAACACCTACTTGCTGTTTTTGTGAAGGCACCTCCGTATTGGGTATAGCATCCGGTGATCACAAAAGAATTGATGCCGACGTTCAGGTAATATCCAGCTTGAGTCTGGTACATCAGCGGTCCTCCAGAATCACCCTGAAAACATTATTTTAGCATATATGATTGAGAACCGCAATGAATTGAACGCGTTTCTGTTTGCTATTCGCTCACTTGGCAGATATTTTTCCCCGTTTCCTGAGCACAGATGAAATTATCGTTGATGGCAGAACCAAACCAGGTCTGACAGGTCTCTGAGCTAATCACGTTCACAGTCGTTTCCATCAACGCCATCGAGATGGAGCCACCTGAAATGGGATTCTACCTATACAGTACTCGTTCAAAAACAAATCTGTGGTTACCCGAAACCTTTGAGGTTCGTTTGACTCACCCCCCTCCGTAGTGATACCCCATCCAGCGACTGTGACGGGTTCTCCAGGATTGGGGACGGCACTGGAGGAAAGGCAGATGGGACGGATGTTCGGATAGGCATCGAAGTCCACCGGAGTCTCCAGTTTCAGGAGGGCGACGTCGTTGTTCACGAATGTCGGGTTGTTATAATCTGGGTTCATTATGGCGGTGGCTGGAATCTGAATGGACTGACTTTCAGTCGAAGTCGATAGATCCAGGTCTCCCAGGGTCACGTAATATGTTGCCGAGGGGCTAAAGTTATGGGAAAATGTTTTTAAAGTAAATATTTTCCAGGCCATAGGAATTCATCTGCAATACTTACTCCGATGCGACACAATGAGAAGCAGTGAGGACATATCGATCGTTGATGAGTGATCCTCCACAGTTGAACATATTCGGAGCCTTCCCCATCCACGCCATCCAGGGATACTTTCCTTGACTTTGAACGGGCGTTCCTCCTATGACTCGGTCGAAATCGGCCGCAGTTGCATTCACTTGGAGGTTCTCGGATCTCCGGTACGCTTGGGAGACTCCGCACGCTTGGGATGAGATTGCATTTGAGAATCGCCGACAGGTGATAATTGAGAAATATTAATTGATCATAGAGAAATGCGGTAATTTTCTAAACTTACTGCAGGAACCACCTGAAAGAGAACGATAAGAAAATGATTAGCTTCATTCTGTTTAATGGGAATACCGACAGGAGGTATGCTTCATTGATCGTAAAATGTCAGAGGAAAAAAACAGTTTCGTGACTAGAAAGGAGGAATTGGATTTTTTTTTCACACCTTGTGAAATCATTGCAATAATCTAATTTCCTATTTACATTATTATGGTAAAATTATGATTGTAAATTATAATTTGCAATTTCTAATGGAAAGCGAAGTTCGACAGAAGTGTAGAGTACCTTGACGCAATCCGAGGAAGTGCAGGTATGCTTGTAACTCCTTGAGTGCATTTTCCTCCACCCCCTGTCCAAGTGGGAGGTAGTGTGCGCTTTATGATGTCTGGAGAACAAGTTTTTCAAGGAATTAAGACCGTGAGCTTACCTGAGCAGGGATGGAGAGCACTACGCAGAAGAAGACGGCGATAGCGGATGCTTGCATGTCTGGAACGCCAGCGATATCAGCACCGTTCACAGTGACTGATGGGAATGTTTCCTGGTCAGCACCTTTTATATCCCCTGTATTTGACGGATAAGTGGGCAATTCTGCATGCAATGACGCGTGTACACGTGATGCAAAAGCGCGTTGCCGACTCCGTCTTATGCAAATGACTGAGCCGTAACTACTTCGTACACATCTACCAATGTGACTGCGATATGGGAAAACAGCAACCTTCGAAGAACTCTCGCGCTCGTCGGTTTTCTTGCGGCGTACATGAATACTTTCAAGAGACTGAAGGTGATTTAGGCAGAGACGAAATTGCGCGTCTTTCTGCAATTCTGCATTTTGAGAGATGGACTCTAACTAAGAAATTGCGATGATGGCCTTCATTGCAGATCCCATGTGAATGCAAGGGGAGACGAACTGAGGAATCGAACGTATTTCATCGTTGACGCTTGAAATTCCTGGATCCACTGTAGCAGGCTTGAGCTGCTGCTGTGTGAAAGTAGCCTCCCCTCCCTTTCGCGAGGCCATTTTGGAAATATCTGGAAAAGGCAAATCCTCGGATGAAAATGAATATTTCTGTTGAAACCCCAAGTTGAAATCTCGAACCGTTTGGCCTGTAGAGCTGTCACACGAAAAAACACAAACGCCCAAACGTACAATCGTCGGCCAAGCTAGTTTTCAGGATCGCCATTTGTTTAACCTCCGGACCTCGTTTGCGAGGTCCGGAGATTTGAATAATAGAAACGAGAAACGGGATTCTTGTAATCGAGCAGATTAAAAGAATCGTGCAAGCTATGTAGACAGCCGACAAATTCGCTGTTAGTATTCTTACTTGTTCTCATTATAGGTTCTGCCAAGAGAATTAATCAGATGGATATATTGAGGGACAGGGGTCATGATATGGGCAGTGTTTTCATGGGCCATGGGTCGTGAGCGCATAGATCGTTTTCCAAAAGTCCCTGATCGTCAAATATTCTCAAAGATCCTGAGAATGAAAATACTTATGATGTCTCTCTTTCTAAATAGTATTGGTGGAAAAAAAATTTGTAAGTTGAAATTCGAAGATATCCATGATTCTTAGGGCGTTAATTTGTTTGGAGAAGACCCTGTCACCTTTTGAAAAGTTTCATAGTTCCCCCATTCTCACCTGTATTTTTTTAAACTGTGCTTACCTGCATTTCACCTTTTTCTTTCACCTCTCATTCACAATTTGTGATATCCGGGCTACCTTTTACATCCAATTTACCTTCTCCTTTTAACACTTGATGTAATGTTCGCCTTATATGATTGGAGAAACGTTAACCCTGATGTTATGAACAGGTTGATGTGGTCCCAGTGCAAGAATCAAAGCTTGACTCGTAAGAAAGTCACATCATGGTATTGTTGCAAGCATTTATTTATGAGGCATACAGGCTTACGGCTTCCCATTAGTCTCATATTTCTGAATGCATTTTGAGCTTCCTAATGAAAAGTCAATAGACCAAGAGACAAGTTTAGCCTCACGCGAAACGAAACAAGTAACAAGTCAACATGAAACAGATTTTCTGACGGAGCCGAACCACTGACACTGGGCGAGACCGTCTTGACCTCATTACTATGCAATACCAAAGGAGAATAACGTTATTCCAACGCGTCCCATAAGGCTGAAAATGACAAGTGCGAAGGCGGTAGGGGCAACATTCTTTTGGGTTTACCAAAATTTCACCTTAGTGACTCAACTCTTATGGGAGATCCTGCTTGGGGAAGAATCCTTTCCAATTAACTTAGCATAAAATCAAATTCCCCGCTTTCCTCCCTTACTCTAGTTGTCAGAACATGCGAAAAAGCTGTGAAATATGGGAGAGACCAGGAGATAACATTTTGTATGTGTCCATGGAACGTAGTGGGGTTCAATGGACCACACTTGCAAGGTTACGTTACTCAAATCAATTTTTTTTTGCCACTTTAAGAATATTTTCAGGTTGGTGATCTTCTGGCGTTAGGGTCTCCTCGACTTGAAAGACAAATATTTTTAAATGACAGGAAAACGTTTGCAATGGTTTGAATGCCGTTTTTAAAAAATAGTGACCTTTGGATCCAACAGACACCCTTACGGGTGTATAAGGGTTAAGGGGTAATCTCGCTCGAGAATTGTGGAAGTGGAGTGGAAACGACTGGAGTGACACCAACTGATCGCCAGCTGTCAATTGAGACGAGTTAAAGTTGAGGCAGAATTTCAAAATTTCCTGCTCAATTTTCAAATGATATCCCCCGTTGTTTCCGCGGAGTACATATTGCAGTGATTTGCAATTCGCGAATAATTCGTGTTTCGGCATAAGAAGAAGCGGCAAGGAAGGCCTTGAAATGAAGTCTTCGAGGAAAGGTCGAGATTGGGAAAGGAGAAAGAGGTTGAGGGGAGGGAGAAGTGGACTCGCTCCGGCGTGGAAGAAGCGTGCTCTTACCTCCAGTTAAAGTCGTAGGGTCCTAACGTGCGCCGGACGCCTATACGTACACTCCTACGGTAAAAGTAGGGGCGTGAACCAGCTAAAACCAGGTGCCGGAGCATTTTGCGAGACGATTTATATACATCGATCCAACCGTTCAAAATATTCATAGATCCAAACATCATATTTAATTACATCTTTTTCCGATATTAAAAAAATCCCATATCATGAGTTGAGCGCATCAGAATTCGCGCGAAATTCCCCTCGATACTCGTTCCAAAAAGAGATGACTGGAAATGATTTATTTCCGCATGCACGTGTGTGTTGATAGCTATTACGAAGCGGAGGGGCAGGCGAACGCAGCTGCGAAAGTCCAGTAGATCCGGGATGAAAATGTCCAGGAATATCATCATCCGTTCATCGTACTGCATTTCCTCCTCGCAAAACTCGTTTAGATCTCGTTTCAGCACCTTCCCAATGTTGGCAATTTTTCCTTTTTGGAAACCCTCAACCCTAATAGCATTTCTCTTTCCCATCGAGGTTCCATTTCGAGTGCGGACTACCAATTCTGACTGCGCGAAATCATGATAAGTCTGGGTGCAAGGTGAAGTGTACCTTCAGCATTCCGGCATCCAAGGAAGCCAGCACCATGATTTGCTCAAAATGTGCATTTCTCAGTGTTAATATTATTCGATTTTGGGATGTGTACCTGGCGCATCTCATATCCAGTGCTCATGCAATACTGAACGCAGAGAAATATTTGCATTATTTGATAGCGAGATCAGGGTGTGAATAATATAGAGGGGTCAGCGTTTATTCATATTTATCTGAGTTCATCGGTGGGTTCGGGATGAAGTCGCTGAAAAACGAGGAAACAAGGAAAATTCCATGCATGCTCATCGTGAAGAATGTGCTGTTATATCGATACCGGCTACGGGGTTCCCTGAGTATTGCACCTGAGGTAATTGCGGAACAATTCCTTCTATTTTTGCACGTCAGTCAAAACAGCTTCCTCTCCTGTACGATTATTTGCATGCAATTACCAGAGCCACATAGTGCAAAGTTCCCGGTTGAAACCTCCCGGGTTTTCAGCGTCGAATTCGAGTTCACTCTTTCATTCTCTGAACCTTCTATTCTCCTCGCACTTTTGGATGATTCGTTGACGATTTGAGAGGATGTTGATGCTGATGATTCAATGCATAGTCGAAATTTACGTAATATTGAAAACTTCAACATTTGGAGGACATTGTCTTTACATCAACAGATGTCGGGCAGGACATCCAGCAAGACTTTCGAACCAAGATGGTTTCCTGATCTGGCGTGAGATGGTGCCAAATCTCTAACACTGGGAGTTATATACGCATATATGCAACTGACACGCGTCTCCAGTATTTTTGGATTTGTACTTGATTTTTAGTGGAAAGACAGCCTCGGAGAAGGTATATCAATTCCTGGGTACATTCGATGAAAGGGGTAGCCCAACCCAATGAGATCCTCGGTAATTCTGGCCCAGGAAACTAAGAGATCAAAGTTCGCGCGTTGATCAGACTCCATGAGATTCCACGAGATTGGAATTACTGGTAACTTCGCACAAGGGATTAAGGGATCATCCCCGAAGCCTATAAGCAAGTGAGACTCCCAAATCAGAAGATGGCAGGAGGCACTCGCATGGACTCGATTCCCAGTAATCTGCGTGTAACTTCATTTTCATTTCATGAATCTTTTTGGCATAACCCTCGTAATTATCGTTGTAGCGTATGAAAAGTTATTGAGGATTATGTGAACAAATGAAACCAATTGAAAATCCTGAGTGATGCAAAAATATTGGTCATCATGGTATATTCACGCACATAAATGCCAATGCAGGCATTATCAATTGTTTATCTTCGATTATATTCTTATTCTTCTTTCAAAATGTATATTTTCAGGAAATCCATTAAAAGCGGTATGATCAATTCATCTTTATTCAGCATATACCAGTTGCAAAAGCTGAAATATAAAAAAGATTCATATACAAGTGGCTTCTAGGATCGAGTTTAATTCATTTCCATTCTGGTGTATTGACGTTCCTATCATCATCGTGATCCGAGCGGAGACGAATTGCCTTGCGTCTATGATTGTATGCTTGGTGAAGGAAGGAGGCCAGCTCTTAATCAGAGGAGAGGAGTAAAGAAAGCGGGATGAGCTGCAAAGACGTCGGCCAAGCATGCAGCCCTCGCTTGGGGAGGGAGACGCACGGTGCAGCTGGAGAACCGCTCCGCTGCCTCGCTCCGCCTCGTGCAGGCGCGCGTCGTAGGAGGATCTGGCTTTGACTCCAGGGATAGCGCTGAGGCTGAGGTTGCTACGAGGGTCGAATTGGTTATATGGGTCTCCCTCTCAAAATCGGGACTCCCCACGCTTCGCAAACGAAGTTCTCAGAGTCACCTC